GATGTTGTAATTTAGTCGATATCTAGCCATTAAATCTGATAGGATAGCGCTATCCATTCTAAAATAATATAATCCAGCTACTGTGTGGCCGTCAGTAGCGTTTAAAAATTAGCAAGTCAAAATTGAGAAAGAGATGGGGTACGTCGTTTTATAAAAATCTTAAAAAAGTAGAAAAATGAATGCGTTGCATTACTGGCTCGGCAACCAGTTATGATTTTCCATCTCCTGACTGTAATTTCTCTTGTTTAACCATCATATAATTTATTTATCCAGCCATTAGGAGAAGTGAGCATTACATTATTGATCATTAGCGACGTTAGACCCAAATTTATTATTTCGTGGCTACACGAGATCCAGTTTCTTCCGGGGTGCAGATCGAAGTTCCATTTTATCACGTTACACGATGAGGGAGGATGAACCGTGTATAAACGTGATACCTTTTTCCCCGTCTAACAGCGGGAATCCTAAATCTCCGTATTACGTTTAGCACATCCTCATTACGTTCAACGACGTACTTCACGTTAGCGCGCGCATGTGCGCGCTTGTGCGTGCGGACGGCGCATTAAATCCGAGCGTTAATATGATAATTAAGATATCTAATAACGCGCTCGTATATTAAAGCGGGAATTTACGCGGATGAGCGAGAGATCGCGGCGCATTCAGCGTTACGAGGGGAAATTTCATATTTCGGGCGGGGTTCGAGCCCTTTCGCAGTGTCTTTCGACGTCCGTGGGGCGACATACGTTCTCGCGCGAGAGCGTATAACCGCGCCCGCGCGGAGGAAAACGACGGAGGACCTTCCGTCCTTCCGAACCTTTTTCTTTTTCCGATTCGAGATCGCGTTACACGGTTCTGGAATCTTTCCAAGGAGCCGGGCTTCGTGATTTTTAGAGCGAGATTGAGGCGAAAAGTGTATGCAAAGTACCGCCGGATTTTCCGAGATTCTCGCTGCGTTTTCGGGCTTCGTGTTATCATCTAGGTAATATCGACTTGACACAGTCACTCGCTATTGTCACGTCGTGAATTTCTTCGTGAGGGTTGTACGATATTCGAAAGGTACGAGGACTTTGAAGCGTCGCGTCTGCATGGCGTTGGTGAAAGTGAAAAGGAAGGAAATAGGAAAGGTTTTCGATAACGCCGGTCAACAAATTTTGCGTTGTAATTTTCATTTCTCTTGAACTTTGATATTTGTGTTCGTGTGTATTGAAACAGAAAATGACAATAAAAGAAATGATTTATCTCTGGTTCAATAAATATAGGTTATACTTTAATTTTTTTGTAAATTAATGATGTGAGAGAGATGCGAAAATAAAACAGTAGAGCATATTTTTAATATATTTTTTTATATTTTCATATTGTCAGAAAAACTAAACATTTTTTTATAAAGTACATCATTAAAGATAATTCGAGGTTTCTATTTTTCAGGAAATTAAAACGCATGTCTCGTTCACAAATTTTTGTAGGACTGTCGTATACACCGATTCGAAGTAGAAAAATAGCTTATAAAAAAATGATTTTGAAAAAATTTCTCTCCATTGTTCTTCATTATATTATGAAAATGAGAGTTAAGCTTTGAATTTAATCGCTTTGATTTGTGACCAGCAGCATAAAACTAAAATAGACGGTTTAGATCAAAGATATTCTGTGTTAGCCAGTTAATTTGCGCTAGTGACGTGTAGAGACGACGTACCGGCAGAAAATATTAAAATATGAAGTAACCTGCGACGGAAAGCGGATTTCGCAACGACAATAGCCGATGTAATCCACGACGAAAATACATTCAAAGAATTCGTCGCTTTCCAGTTTGCATATTTTTTTCAAAATCGGTATTAATGCACTCGGAGGAAAGTGCGTTGAGTCCCGCGATTATCTCGAAATAAAAAGTCAAGCATTTTGTATTCAACGAGCTAATACGAAACGGAACACAGTTTCAGTAATTTTTATTGGTTCGCGGATTTGTGTCAACGGGAGGCTCGCGCTGCTAAACTCCCTGTAATATTGTAGTAGGATTAACGTGTATCGAATGAATTCAGTTTTCATCGCTGCCCCTCCAGTCTTCTCGATTCATTGTCGAGAGATCGTCTCGGCGAGCCTGTACGGAGAAATCGCCTGTGTATACTTCGATGTAAAAATGTCAGGAAAATAAAGTAACGCGAGGCGGATAAATAAGGTACACGAGGAGATGCACCTTGGCGCTGGTATCTAATTTTATATATTTAGTTAACAAACTGGAAAAGAACGCAGCTTCGGCTGCTATTATTAAATCTTATGGTATTATTAAATTTTCCGTCATGCCTGCGTCGTTTTACCCGGTGCTGCCAGGTGCCGCCCGCGCGCTATATTTTATTACATTAAATCATACCGGAGATACAATTACAATTTCTGTCTTTAGAAGGCTTTGCACGTTTCCTCTTATTCTGCGACCTATTTCGAGAACGTCCCTACCATCCGTCTTGGCAAGGCCGACAGTACGAGAAAATTTAATGAACGTGACTAGATCTTATCGAAGCACACGGCGAGAGTATGGCGGAGAAGTCAACCCGGGGAGAGAGAGAGAGAGATTGGCACCGCGTCGGTTTATACAAGGCGGACTTTGCGAGAGTGACTTTTACGAATTTTCTCGACGTTCGCGCGCCGAAAAGTAATCGGATGTAGTCCACCTTATTATTTTATCTCTCTCTCTCTCTCTCGACGCGAGCGAGCGAAAATTACCTCACCTCAAGGATTCCAAAATTATTATCGCCGCTATTTACGCGGCGAATTCTCTTCGAGGCGTTCTTCTTCCCCTTGTTCTTTCTCAAGCGGCACTTTTTCATCGCAACTTTACGCCCAACTTTAGAACTCTTTCCCCGCACGGCCCACGATTTACCGCCGATATCTTAATGAATGGTAAACCGGCGGATCTCTCGCGGCTTTCCAGCACGCGAAAAAGGGGAAAATAAAATGGGAGGAGGAGAAGAAAAAAAAAACGGGATGCAACGAGTCCCGGATGAATCGAGAAGCGTGGACGGGAGAACGTTGGGTTAGGTTATAATCGAATTGCGGACGTCTACTTTCGCGTTTACGCCTCTCACGAGAATACCTCGGATACCGGGCGATTTGCATCGTTAGATTTTAATTACGCATAAGTTCCGGAGGCATTAAGAGCCGGGCCAACGGCGAAAGAGGGCGAGAGAGAAAGATAGAGGGGGAAAGAGAGAGAGAGAGAGAGAGATAAAAAGCCGGGTTTCAAGTACATTAAAGCATCTCGCGGGTTTCCTAGGAGATTCGACGTAGACAAACGGTCGGATTACTTCTCTCGCGAAGCGAGAAGCGCAGCCGTGTAGAACGGCCAACTACCTACCTACCTACTTACCTACCTACCTACCTTTTTCGTTTGCAAAGGCAAGCCCGGCCGAGGGACCTGGAGCTTAATCAGTTGTTAGCCCAGCCCGGGCAATTGAAAAGTTGGCGAAAATTAAAGCGAGCTTCGAGAGGCGACCCGGCGGTCTCCGGAGGCGGCTCGCGGATTCGCACGAGCGGTTAAACCGCGCGCGCGCGCGAGACGAGAGAAAAGGCGGAGAGAAGAAGGTAGCTCTGCAGCCGCGGGAAGTTACGTTCGCGGCCGGTCGTAAAACCGGCCAGTTCGCGATGTCCCGCGCTCTCGCTGTAAATTGCGGCCCTCATATGTCGCGCTTCCTCCCCGCTGTGTCGCGCGTAAAAAGTCCGCCGCAAGGACGACTTTAATTTACGTCCGCCGGCGGCGTGATAGCACGTCTGAGACTAAAAACTATTTCGCGTGCGCGGGAGCGAGCGGCCGGGCGCATTTGGTAAATCTGATTAAATGCGACGTTGCACCCGCCACTAAATTGCTCGCCCGAGACATTAACGCTGGATTCGCGATACCGTATTGCTCGCTGCTATTTATCGTTGCGCTTTGCAACTGTTATGTCCGGGGGGGGGGGGTTGAAAGTGGGGTTAGTTAACGCGTTCAATGCCGCGACCGGCATCGCCGCGTCTCATTAACCTCTTCGGGAATACTGACACGCGTGTGTATGTGTGTGTGTGTGTACGTTTCTCTAATTTAATAGTACCGTACCTGTGCAGGTGACCTCTCTCATATGCCTATGGTGCGTACGTTGTTTGTACACAGGCATGTGGGGCCTACGTTTAACGCCGGTTCCGAACGGCATATTATTTAGAGAGGTGTTCTTGGCAAAGATACTCTCTTCGATGGTTTGACATTGCCTTCCGAGAGGTGACACGAGCGTAAATATTTTTGCTTTCTACCGGGATCGAACCTGGGAACGCTAGTTATGGTAGACCAGTACGCTGTCTGCCACGCTCGCGCTCTGTACACGTTTAGGTACGTTTTCCTTTCTTAATGCCTCTAAATTTAATTGATATGGTATAGATGTGTTCTTTGACATTTTCCTGACTGGAGGCCCACTCGGGCTATAAAAACTGCGGGATTTCTGCATCAGGTAAATATTGACGCTGACAGGTGGAATATCAATTTGGAAATGTTTTTATCCTTTTCGTCACGTATCGAGCGATACTCCGATTCATTTTCGCGCGTACTTCCGTATTGTAAAGGCGTTTATAATTCTATGCGATCAATACGGCCTATAATTTGCGGAAAGATTTCGGTATCCTACCGATTAAGTTGAGTATATTAATACGGTTAAAATTGATACGAGTAAAAAGTTGATTTATAGAACCGATCGAAGAATGGAACGCGACGTCGAGGTAGACTCGATCGTGAAGGGTTAATACCGCAATTACCGCTGGGGATGTTGATCATAATGGCACGTCGTTATGGTCGCACTTTAAACGCGCAGGTGTCTTTTCTTCCGACGGCCGATGTTTTTCTCTCCGGCACTCTCCGTCGTAGAAATGGACGAACACCGTCGAACCACCTTCTTTCTCGCGCCCCGCAATAATCGCCCGCGTCCGACGCGAATTTTTCAATGTTACGAGGTCACTAATTGAAGCGGTTACCGGATGGTTCCTTGTTACAGAGGCACCTCGTGGGACGTACTTGCTGATAGATGGCCGCCGGCTGGATCCCGGGAACCAGTTCGTGCCGGTGAAGGAGGGCTCGGAGCTTATTCTGGAGTGCGCGGCCGAGGGTGGCAACCCGCCGCCCGTTTTGGCGTGGGGCATGACCTTGTCTCAAGCCACTTTGGACGGGCCGGAACAACCGCCGGACAACCTTACCGTGTCGCCCTCGACATCCGGAGGCTCCAGTAGAGCTCATCTTAAGGTCTTACGAGGACATCACAATGCCACCATAGCCTGCGTCGCGCGTCACATCACGCTCACGGTGCCGATGAATGCCAGCATCCTGCTCGACGTTCAATGTGAGTACCAGTGGAAATTACAAAGTCGCGTCGGCTCATTTCGATGGCGTGTTTACGCTCGGATAATATCGCTCTTTAATCGCGAATCCTAACGATCGTCGGATTTTTAACATACTTCGAGCTTAATATTCCGATCCAGCTTAATGCACCTTCCGAATCGCTTCTTTTTTCTTTTATAAACTCCGCGTTTGGAATATCCCTGTAATTAGATTCTCCACGAAACTCGCGGACGAATCGGCATTGCTCGGCACGTCGGTCGGCGTAAAGACAGGTACGCTCCGCGTGCAAAAATAAAAAAAAAGAGATAACAAACGTTCGTCATGCATATGCATGAACTTAAATTGCTTTTTGAGAGAGACCGAGCGCGAAATAATTCCGCGCGCCGGCGCTTTTACTTAGAAGCCCCGGAGAGGAGGGTCGCGATTCCCGCGATATTAGACCTAGTTGCGCCAGCGTCCCGGAAGCGAGTAACACGTGTGTCGGCGCTGGGAGGACGGGCAGACAGTCTTTCCCCCGCGTCCATCGAAACTGAAATATAAACTTAATTAAGTCTGAATCTGGCGGCGCGCGCCTCGCGAGCCCGCTTAAGCGAGCTCGCCATCCGAGAAGGAGAGCGGGGCTTCGCGTTGCATTTGAGGCGCGACGACCGTGTTACAAGAGCTTTCTCGGCAGTGGGATAAGGAAGGGCAGACGGAGGAGGGGGAGTGGCTCGAGGTAACGCCGTGTATTATGCGACGTGGAGGTAGTTTATTTTGCGCCGTTGCGCCTCTTTCGCCACTCTCGCATCCAGCGGCCGCGGTTAGTCGGCAAGTCTCATCCCCGACTCACCCCCGCGCTGTCGGAGGGGGCCCCGAGAGTTGCCGAAGGAGCTCCTCTTCAGCCGGTTTCGAGGCAAACTCCGAGGGATTAACTACGCCGCGCGGACAAAAACCGGCGAAAGCGTGCCGAGGGCTCTCTCTTTCCCCCTCGCTCCCTACGCCGCGCCTGGGCCCTTTTTACTCCGCCTCGTCTCTCTTCGGGTGTTTAGGGGAGGCTCGTCGAGGCGAGACCGCGAAGATATATCACCCGAAACTGGCTCCTTCCCGCTCTTCTTCCGGCGACGAACTTCCCGGTTGTTCCTTCTCGCCAGCCGGCACTCCGCTTACCTGGAACGCGCCCGTCCGAGGCTCTCGCGCTCGCGATCGGAATCTCCCTAATTAAAAATGGCTGATACACGCTTCTCGTACAGGCCGCATCGACTGAAGCTCAGCTTAAAAACGCGCGTCATAAGTAACTCGAAAATGTTTTCTTCGTCTATGTGTTTTCTCGATAATTAAATAACGATTGAATTTTTAATACATGAATAATAATTTAATTATTAAATAATACTGTATAATTTAGTAATTAAATTGAATTATTGAATAAATAATAATTTAACTTTTCATTCTCATTGCACACTGTGTGCAATAATATTCGGGTACTGTTGACTTTTTTGATATGTTTATATTAATCTGCTCGGGACTGCTGTAATAAAATGCCTGTGTTAACGCATTGCCAACTGCGCGAGACAGAATTTTGCAAATCATACATTTCGCAAACAATGCGCAGTAACACATCTTAATTTGAATTTTTACAATTTTTCGTGACATAAAAATGAATATAATAAAATCCAAAAGTAAATATAATAATTCTTCTCCACGAATTTTTCATCAAAATTTTTCAGCAAAATTTTTCAGCAAAAGTTCAGGTTAATCGATCAACAACTACCGAAAATAAAGTAGATCTACCCGATGTTGGCGATGTGTTAATATTTTGCTACTACTGTTACTATTTTTTTATTTCTTTTCAGTCATATGTTCTCTATTGTAGTTTTTTTTTTTTTAGTATCAAAAAGTATTTTATTCTCCCGTTATTGAAATAGAATTTTAACATTCATGGCTCACACCGGTTTTCACGATCCTTTTTTCACGACCGTTTTTCTTCTTTCAGTTAACTTCGACTCGACATCGGACGGAATGTCTTAGATTATTTTTTTTTTTTTAATAACGATTTATCATGACTTTTGTATCTTTATTATTATTATATATTATAACGATTGAAAACGCAACGCGCTATTTTGTTTAAATTATTCTCTTGCGAGGAGAAAACATTATTTCCGATTTTAACGAAACCGTGCGAACGCCTGTATTATTCTCCGAGGAGCGATGTCGCGCCGCAGTTAGCCATAGTTTGGCAAACCCTGCTCTAGATTATACGCTTAACCGGGGCTGCCTCGAGCCTCGTCGTCGTGGACAGTTCTTCTTCGCGGTGAGTGCAAGGGGAACCCATTGTGCGCCGACATTATTTCGCTCCTTTAATCCCTTCACGCCTGTCCGAGCGCCGCACCGTCCGGTGCGCCCCGAGGCTAAACGAGCTCCTCGAGAACTTACTCCACAAAGGGGAAAGTTCGGTGCGAATCGTTTAGCTACCGAGGAAAAAAAAAAGACGAGAAAGCTTGGGACACGTGAATCTTCGGGACGGGATTTTCAAGGTCGCCGTTGTTCGATCGCCCGAATAATATCGCTCTTTAATCGTGAATTTTCACGAATCCCATGAGATTTTTAACACTTTGAACTTAAGTCTTATTCGATCATAAGTCTTAAGTCATATTTGAACGACAAGCGGCCGTTCTTTTTAACTGAACTATTACTATTATTACATACACATTTTGCCTTTCGAGTAAAACAAGTAAAGGAAAGGCCGAGACTCATGCAACATTTTGTTTTTAGATTCTGAAACCCCGTCGAAGTTGTAAAATTAAAATTTACGCACACCGGTGCAAATCAGCAACGTTTCTTTAAAAAAATATATGATAGTCTCACGAAACTGGTTACATACGTCCTTGCAAACAACTATTTTCTAAGACGTTTGAGGAATATAATCTTAGTAGGATTTCTCTCAGTGCGTGCCACTGAATTTTTGTTCCTTTGGTCGACGTCAAATGTAACAAAGCAGACCGAAAACACGCGAGTTTAGTGATTCCACCCATCTTCGGTAAAAGATAAAAGACCCGCTATTATCCGCTTCCGTGATAATGGTCGGGCGAAATGAACGGATATATCCGCTTCGGATGCAAATGGCCTAAGTAATCCGACTCTGTGTACGACCGTGCGTGGTAGCCAGAAAATTCGGGTCTGCCGAGGTTCACGCTCGAATTCAACCGTGGCGTTCCACGTGTGATGTGAGAAAAATAAACGCGAACGAAGCTCGTTTCGCATCACAAGGTATCGGGGAACTTCATGACTTCTTTCTCTCCTTTTTTTTTTGGCCGACGACATATTTCCGATTTATTTAACATTCATCGCGATTCACTCTCTTATTTTTCCCGGTTTCGGGGAACCTGTCGCGTTCCTCATCGAATCTGCGCCTGGAAGGGTACCTAATTCCAAAGGCGATACGGGCGCGAGCAACCAGGCTGAACGTCTCGGGGATGTAAATTTTCTAGACGAACACAGCTTGCACGCTCGTCGTCTTAGTAGGGAAAGGATGCGGGCGTCTTACGGGCGATAGTGACACTGTACGGGTACGTCCCCCTACCCCCCCCCCCTCTCTTCTCTCCCTCTTCCCTTATTTTTGTCGCGAATTTATTCCAATCGTACTTATGTCCCGGCTGTCGCGCGGACAGGACAGAGGAGGTACATTTGTCGGCACCTGAGCGAGCAAATTTTCCGGTAGGGCGAACGCCAAAGGCTTCCGGGCGATGTCCTGGACGCCTTTATGACGTCGGGGGCGGCAGAGAGAGGAGTGAAGGGCAGGGGGGAAGAGAGAAGGGTGCCGAGAGTAGTGACCCACTTTCCATATCGCGCCGGCGCATCGCCGTTTGTCATTACGCGTAATGCAGGCTATTACCGGTTGTCATCGTCGGGCTCCATATCGAATAAATGATTTTACTTTTAAATCGGCCCGCCGCGCGCGACGCGATTAATCATCGCGGCGCGCTCGCCGCCGCAGCCGCCGCCGCCGCTCGCGGCCGCTATTTTGCATAAGTTCGCCGTGCCGCTCGGAGTTTTCGATTTGTACTTCGCCGGCGGCGAACATCGGCCGGAAAACGCGATCGGATTCGGCATAAATCACGATGATTTTTGGCGACAGTCGTTATTTGCAGCTGACCCGAATATGCGCCGGGGCAGCCCGCGGAACGATTCTCCTGGTCGGCCGCGCTATGAATATGTAGTGCGCGCGTAGCCGTAAAATTCTAACCGCGCGCGCGGATACGAGCGGATACGAGCGGACGGGCTTCGTCTCGAGCTCTAATCGATCTACGCGGCGCGCCCTCGCTTCGTTAACCCGACTGTTCGCACTGTGAATTATGAAGACCAGGCGGGAAAGAAGATTGCGCGCTGATCATCGAGATATCTCGTCTTGCGACGTCTTTATCGTCGGCCGCGACAAGGACGCTCGGAGCGCCGAGGTGTTGCGATAAATTCGCTCTCGGCACGCTCCCGAACACTCGTCCTCTCGTTTTCGCAGACAAATCGTTCCGGACATTTATTACGCGCGTACCATCGTCCGTTATGATGTATTTATGACTTCACACCGGGAGAATTGATGCTGGAAATTGCCGCGAAATTTTGCGACCGGGGAACGTATCGACATTCGGCCCGAATTCACACCACGTCCGTATCATGTGTACTATTTGTAGCGTATGCTGTTAAAGAATTTACCTCATGTGATTTCAGCGAGATAAATTTTACTCACAATCTATTCTTGTTTTACTATGCCGAGAGAAATTGTAATTATTTTCCATTAATTATTTATATCATTGGCATTACAGTAACATTTAGTAGAAAAGTAGTCTTCCTGGCTATAATTGTTTCACTCGAATGTAGCACACTAAAAGAAGAAGGTGCTACATATTCAACTAACATTTACTTTATCCGAGTAAAATAATTACTCCAATGTTCTTTAGCAAATATTTACTTGAATGTAAGACTTTCTTTCTTTCAGCGTGTATAGTTGCGAATGAAAATCTGAAAATGGTC